TGAAATAAGTCATTCAGAGAAAGACGAATATCGTATGATTTCACTTATATGTGAAATTTTTTTAAAACCCCAAAACTCATAGATACAGAGAAAAGATTGGTGGGTGAGGGAGTGCAAAATGGGTGAAGTGGGTCAAAAGGTACAAACTTCCAACATGGTGACTACTATAGTTAATAATACTGTAGTGTATATTTGAAAGTTGTTAAGAGAGTAAACCTTAAAAGTTCTCATCATAAGACAAAAATCTGTAACTCTGTGTGGTAATGAATGTTAACTAGACTTATGGTGATCATTTCACAATATATACACATACTAAATCATTATGTTGTACACCCAAAACTGATATAATGTAGATCAAGTATAGCTTACAAAAGTAATAAAATAAATTTTACCTCCCCAGAATTCTTATTCCATATTATTTTACCCTGATTTATTCTTTTTACTAGTATCAACAACCACCTGACATACCATATATTAAATAGTTTATTCTCTCTCATTTTCAAGGGATGACAATCTTTATTAGGGCATGGATTGCTTATTTTGTTCACCATAGTATCTCTAGCTCCTGTATTGGTAAACGCCAGTGCCTGGTATATGGTAAATATTCAAGAAATACTTGCTAAATGAGTAAGCCAATGAAAATATTAAAGTATTACCTCTTTATGTATCCATTTTAAAAACAATCTTATGAAATTATTTGTTTCTAACATATTTTTCAGTTGTTTTTTATATTTAAATGACCGCCTTCTTTTTTCCAATATTTATACCTTTTATTTTGTTATTGTATCTAATTGCTATATCTAGAATTTTCATGATAGCATTAAATATTGGTGGTGATTTGGGGTTTTTAATAAAGATCTTATTTATTTATTTTTAGAGAGAAGGAGAGGAGGGAGAGAACCATCAATGTGTGTGTGCCTCTTGTGCACCCCCTACTGGGGACCTGGCCTGCAACCCAGGCAGGTGCTCTGACTGGGAATCAAACTGGCAACCCTTTGGTTCACAGGCCAGCACTCTGTCCACTGAGCCACACCAGCCAAGACTGGTGGTGATTTTTATAGTCTTTGCTTTATTCCTTATTTTTGTAAGAATTCATCTAACATTGTACCATTAAAGAAGAGCCTGATTCAGATGTGAAACACAGCACAACACAAGGGCACACATACTCACCATATGAAAAATATATTTCTTCCTACTAAGGATTTTACCACAATTGTTGTAGGCTTTTCCTCAATTATTTATTGGAATTTATTAGCATGGGCATGTCTTCTCAACTGTCCTGTTAGTATGATACATTGCAATAATAGATTTCTCAATAGTGATCACTCTGCATTCAAGAAACTACCTTTTCTTGCATTCATAGTTTCCATTTCATATACTGATGGATTATATCCAGTGTTTTAATAGTGTAAGTTTCATTTATCTATACATATAAAACTGATTTCATTTTGTGAAATTTTAATCAGGTTTGTCATGAAAATTATAATGGCCTTATAAAAGAGTAAACTTTTCTCTTTATGCTCTGAATCACCTCAAAATTAAATATTTCTTGACAGTGTGAAATAATTTATTTGTAAGACAATCGAGCCTAACATGCCTTTTATATGTCAATGGTTATTTGTGTGATTTTTTTTTTGAGGAAAGGGCAGATTTAAAAATAGTCACAATTTTCTAGGGTTAATGGTCTATTCTGATTTGTTTCTTCCTGGAAAGAGTGTAGTTATTTGTATCTTCTCATTGGCCTTATTGGGGCTATAAATTCCAATAAATAATTTAATTTTTTCAATCAGATTGTACATTTGCCTGCCTAATAAATCTGTGCCTGGGTGTATTTCTTCTTGTTTCTAATTCTTTGCATTGTGCTTTTGTAATTGGGATGCTGAAGAAGCATCCTTCAGTGAATATTTCCTTTGTCCTTTGACGGCCTGGGAAAATTGGCAGAGACCAGCACCTGTGGCATTGAGGCGGCAACTCAGACATGAGCCAGGAGCAGCTGGCAGTGAGGTGATCCTTCACCTCTCAGGCTGCAGGCAGTGCGGGTGCCAGCAGGCTGTTGGGAATTCTGCAGAAATCTCAGACCAGCAGGCTAGTGATCCAGAAATCACTGACTGTGAAGTCCTGCTTTGTGACTAATGTCTTTTAGTTCTCCAAGGTGCCAGGATTTGACCAATGAAAAAAGCTCAGTTAATGGACTGATGAAAGATCATAGATAAATGTTTCTGGGGGATATTTGAGAGAAAAAAATGTCCTTTGAAACTGAGGTGGAGAATCCAAAAATGATTCTAATTTTAGTATAAAAAATTTTGTTGTCTTAGTCTGATGAGGTCACAGAATTTGGGTAAAATAAACCTCTTCTATTTTGCATTTCCCTTTTTTTTCTCTGATTTTAGGATCCTTAGTAGGGTTTTATATTGTGCTTGTCCCTAAAAGGAGTTTCCCAGCATTTAATACCACTCACCTTCTGGGACATACAGCCAATTCTTCACTGGACATGTTCACCTGATGTCACATAGGTACCTCAAATTCCACATGTGCTCAGCTGAGTTGCTCACTCTCTCCATGTATCCTCTATGTCTATGTTCCCTATATTCATTTACCATTATTCATTTATATTCACCTAAACTCTTTTGGCTTTCTTCACTCTTCACATTAAATACCAAATACTGTTTATATTTTTATTTTTCCCTCATTTTTCTAGACTTCATCCCTCTCCACACATTTACCTCAGATATGCTAGTTCAGGCTCTCAACTCCCTGTTGGATTTTCTTCACTGTCATCTGGTGCATTGAATATTAATGAATCAAGGATGCAATAAACCAGGAAAGCCTACTAGGTCTACACCTAAATATCTAAGGAATGCAGTCCTTTTGTAATCTATCTCCAGATGTGTAGTCTGTAATATGGCATTTCTCTGCCTTTGGCCTGACAGTATTTTTATTGCTTACCCTAATTTCCCCATATTCTTGATCTTGTTTTGGAAGCTACTTGGTACTTTGACTACAAGTCTAATTAACTCAGCTATTGTGAGTTTGAAATAAAGAATCACAATCGAGTGGACATCTCATTGGCAAAGAGCACAAAATTTGATGACACACTGTTGGTAACGGTGTGGTGAAGCAGGCATGCAAACATTTTTATGGAAGGTTAAGTTGGGAGGACCTCTTTGGAGGTAAATTCGGCAATGGCTATTAAATATACAATTGACTCACCAATTCCATTTCTAGGAATTTATCCTACATATATACTTACACATGTGCACAAAGATGTATGCACATAAGTAATTACCATGCAATAGTTTATACTAACAAAATAAAAACCAATATAAATACTCGTTAAAGGTGTAATGAATAAATAAACTATGTTTCAACCATATGGGGGATTACTATCCAATTAAGCTGAATTAGATAAATGTGTATAAGAAACAATCTCTAAGATTTTGTAATAAAAAGGCACAGATATATGCTGCATATTCTGTCATTTGTATACCAATTTTATACACATATCCATATACACTTGTACATGCATAGATTACCTGTAAATAGACATACACAACTAATGTACTGCCTGTGACCTATGGGCAGGAGAGATCTGGGATCCCAGGGTTTCAGACTTACTTTTCATTGTACAACATTTAGTTAATTTCAATTAAAATACAAAAACAAAACAAAGTAAAGAGCAAGTGGGATATCTCGATGGCTGTAGCTTAAAATATTAAAAGTCTGTGCATAAAAATGGTATAGATTCATGATTTCTCACACGGGAAATAATGTACGCATACACAAATATATAGTGTATGTGAGTAGGTGGTTATAAGCATAATGTACATTTGTGTTAGTGAAAAAGTTGGTTAAATCATCTTCAGAACACAAGATGACACCTATAGCAAGTATATTTAGATATTATGTATTCAAGATGTTAATCTTTGAACCCATGTTAATAGCATAAGTTTGCTTTTTCAAAAACAAATGTACACAGCAATGTATGCATAGCTGAGAGTTCAGCTTCAGTTTCTCTCCTGGAAAATTTTGACTGTGATAAATATATTACTAGAAAGACAATTAAGAAAAAGTAAAATGTATATGTAAGCATTCAAAAACATAAGCATGGCACTTAATTGCTGAAATGCTGAACATATTTATTTTTTTCTGCAATACATCACAGATTCATTCAAGATAAAAGAATTATTCATGTATACAATTAAAAAAACCTGCCAGCAACAACTACCTTGAGTACAACAGCCAGCCTTTCTCTTTAAAGGACTGCCTGGATAATGTTACCTGACTTGAAAGAAATATTTACCCCAAAAAGAACCTCCCTGATTGTCCTGACACATATAGGCCAGTTTTGATTAGCTCTGAAAATTTGTGGCATAAATTCTACCCATGAGTAGGCCATAATATAGCAGCTTGATATAAGAAGAATTAGAGCATGGGGGTATTGATGCTAAACCTTCTACTGAATAATCAAAACTAATTAATAGGATTAACACCATGATAAGACTTTTAAACTAAGAGAACACATTTTTAGAAGTACTTTATGCATCAACATTATACAAACAACAAACACTGAGTTTCCAACATCCAAATGTAACACCCCCAAATAGTGGCAATCTAAAAGTTGAAATGCATTTTGTAATTGGAGCAGGGCCATAAACCTGCGCTGTTATATTGTGGGTAGTTCTTCAGACCAGCCCGAAAGACACTTTTTAACTCACAGTCCCCTGAAATAACATACATCAGAAATGTGTAATAGACCTGAACATACTGTTGAAATACTGGTAAAAAGTAAAGTAGTGAATTGTAATGAGAACCATGACTGTACAAGCCCAGAGAATGAGAATATGTGAATCACTCAAAGAAAGAACACCACAGACTAGCCAAAATTCTTTGTAAGAGAAGGCAAAAAAAAAAAAAAAAAGAAAGAAAAGATGGTGGTATGAAGGAAAATGAGAGGGGAGCAGAAGGAAAATCTGGGCACTTGGAGAACACAGTGGCCACCTTTAGCTCCAGAGGCCTGCGTAGTTCCCATGCAGGCCTGAAGGGAGAGGCCCCCCAGCCACAAAGAGCTTCATCTCCGGCCAGTTGTAGCAGTGGGTGTAGAGCGCGTTGGGGAACTCGTCCACACTCCCAAAGTAGTTCACCCACAAGTCATCGTGGTTCAGCCAGCCTCTGCCGCAGGTGAGCCTGAGCTTCCTCCCTGTGGGCGCCAGGAAGGAGTCCTGGCCTGCCGAGGCCCTCTCTTCCAGGAACTTCTGGGCACGGGTGTCATAGAAGAGCAGGGAGCCATGGCCGGTGCCCACGGTGATGATGTGCTGATAGAAGCTCAGTGAGCGCACGCCAGTGCCGCCCTCTCGGGAGCACAGTGGCCGAATGTTCTCCTGGCGCTGGCGCGGATCCAGAAAGGAGACGTGGGACTGGGAGCCCGCTGCGTACAGGGACAACTCATCACAGTAGGTCAGGCACACATTCTCTCGGCAATAGGGCAGCCTGATAGACAGCAGCCTGGACAGGGTGCTCCGGGGCTTCCACAGGTGAAAGTACCCATCAAGGGACACTGCTCCCAGCTCCTGGTTCTTGCTACTGAAGGCCAGGGCCCGCACCTTTCTGTTACTGAGATTGGTGCTGGGCCTGGGGATGGTCTCTATGTCCATCGGACAGATGTGGGCGTACACTGGGACCCCCGCGTCATTGTGCCAGGCGATGCCGCTGTTGAACATGTCGGGATCCATTCTCCACAGAGCCAACGTGCCGTCGCGGGACCCACTCACAGCCACTGTGTCACTCATCCAGGCGATGGCGAAGATCCAGTCCCTGTGGCCGTTGCGGTCACCCAGGCACACGGGGTCCAGGGTAGGCAGTTGGTAGACAGCCAGGCTGTTGGGGTTCTCGCCCCCCGTGGCCAGCAAAGTCTTGGAGGGATTCAGCTCGATAGCATGGATGCCACAGCTCGGCTGGGTTCGGGCCAGCTCGGGTCCCTCGTCCCGCATGAGCGGGATGCGCGTGATTTGGCCCGACAGCACGTCCGCCACGAAGAGTGTGTTGCACTTGGTGCCACACACCACATGCCTGTCGTTCAGCCACTGCGACGCGAACACCTTGTTGAGGGTGCCCAGGGCCAGCTCGCGCTCTCGCAGCAGCCCTGGCAGCTTCTCCACCACGTAGCCACGCAACTTGCCCTCGAACCCTTTGAGCCCCACGCGGCCCCGCGCGCCCCCCTCGCGGTCGTTCAGGTAGTGCACCAATGAGCGCCGTATCGCCGGCCGCTTCTGCCTCTTAGGCTGCAGCGGGCCCCCGCCATCCGCTGCCAACAAACCCTGCAAGGACGAGCTTGCGGCAGCCCCCTCGATGGCGGGCTCTTTCCGCTTCCTACTACCTGTTTGCTGCATGGCCATGGTGGGTGGCTGGCCAGTGGTGGCTGTGACGTTGGCGGCGCTGCAGCGGTGGTGCTGTGTGGCACCCGCGTTGGCCGTGGCGGTGGCGCCTCCTAGTCAGCGTAGAGCGCGGGCTCTCAAGGGCCCGGAGTAGGGGGCGACAGAGGGCTTGGAGTCTGTGGAGTCCCGGGTGAAGTGGCGGAGGCGAAAGAGGAGAGAGGCAGGCCGAGGAGGAACGTGGATCGGAGAAGGCAGAGAGCGGTGGCCTGGGAAGCGAGGGGGCTGTGGGGTTCTAGACGAGGGCAGGAAGTGAGGCCGGCTGCAAGGCAGGAGCACAGTCGGAGTGGGACTAGGACCACTCGGGAGGCGGTTAAAGAGGGGGGCGGAGGCAGCGGGAGGAGCCGGACAGACGGGGGTGGGGTGCCTGGGAGCACACGCCTGGGTGGGAGGGGTCGGAGGGGGGCGGGGGGAATGGAGACTCACGGGGCCAGTGCTCCAGGATCCCCAGCCGGCTTCATGGGGACACATCCCCCTGATAGCCTACTCTGGGGGTGTCACTACCCCCTGGATAGCAATCAACCATACTTCTTAAAATCCCTACTTAAATATAATGCAAAGGTTAAATGTGGTCAAGTATGAGGCTAGAAGGAGCCAGGACAATTGTGGTCCAAAAAACAAATGTGTACTTGGTGCAATCCTGGAAGACCCTTTGCCCTAATTAGATAGCAAACTTGATGGGTGATGGGGATGTTTGGCAGAGACAGGGAGATCCTCCCCCTTGGGTCTATCATGTGGCCTCTTTTGCTCTTGGACATTGACCACCTGTTCATAGTATTTATATTGGATAGAAGTGACTAAAACAAAGTATTTGGATCATGGTCTAATTATCATGCAGACACATAAAGGAAGCCATGAATGAGATTATGCCTACAGAGTTCATTGATCTTCTAAATACAAATTTTATAGATTGGAATAGGATTTCAGGAATAAAGGCATCTGTCTTCAGAAATGGAATTACGTAATCATTTCTAATACATTGTATATAGATGTAAAGCAAGGCTGTCCTTAAAAATATTTTGACATCTTGTCTACATTTATATGTTTTGCCCTTACATTATCTTATTCTATCCCAGGCTCTGTAATATCTTAACTAGACATAGATAGATACCCAGTTATTGTTTCCCCTAACTTTGATGCTGACTTACAACTAGCTTCAACTACACCCTAAATGCCAATGCCTCCTAATTGGTACCCTAAATCCATATGTCCAGCTTCCTACTTAACATTTTGCCTATCAAAATAGAACTTCAAATTCAGCATGTGTAAAGTCAAGATTTTGATTTCAACTCCCAGACACAATCTTTTATTGTTTCCTATCTTAATGAATAGCACCACCATCCATCGATCTGTGTAAACCAGAGTCCTAAGAAAGATCCTTGATCCTTGACACATAATGCTTATTTTCTGATCCAATATCCATCTTCTAACATCTTTCAAATCCATTCAATTCTCACCATCTCCACTGTTACCACCCTTTTCTATGTCACTGTTTGTCTTGACAATTGCAATAGCCCCCTAACTAATTTCCCTGTGACTATTCTTGCCCTCCTCCATTCATTCCACCACACTGCAGCCAGTGATGTTTTCAAAATGCAAATATGGTCATGCGGCTGCAATGACTTAAATTAACCAGTATTTTCCTATTGTCTTGGGATAAGGACCAAAACCCTTAACACAACCTGCAAGGCCCTGAATGATATAACCAACATTCTCCAGCCATATTTGTACCTTCTTATTACTTGTTTTGCTCCATAAAAACTGGTTCTTTTTAATTTTCCCAATGATATTACATAATATTGTGCCTCCAATCTTTTTTTTACATGCTGTTCTCTCTGCTTAGAATGCTTTGTACTTGTGGGTCTTCTGATCCACCCCCCCCCCGCTCCCACAGATTCTTTACCTTGTTAACTCCGTATCATTCAGATTTTAGGTAAAATGTCACTTTCTTAGGGAAACCCTCCTCGACCCCCTGATTAGGTCAGGTCTATTATACATGGAGATTCTCTTCACTGTATTTCATGACATGTACCACAAGTGAAATGCATGGTTATTTCTGTGACTGTTTCATGTGTATATCTAATAAAGCATTGGGAAAAAAAAACTTGAAGGCAGAGACATTATCCACTGTGCTCTCTACTGTATCTCAGAAATACTCAATAGTTGTTGAATAATGCCAACTGAAATTTTAGAGAGCCTGAATCTCTGTTTTACTGGTACACCAGAACCCAGCCCTTCACACTATTTGATCAGCTACCTCTAACATAATAAATCTTAGAAGGAAGACCCTTCATTACCCGACATTTTAGGGTCTTTAAAATTGTTTACTCTTCCCTGGCTGGTGGGGCTTGGTGGATTGAGGGCCAGGCTGAGAACCAAAGGGTTGCCAATTCAATTCCTAGTCAGGGCACATGCCTGGGTTGCAGGCCAGGTCCCCGGTAGGGGGCATGTGGGGGAAAACCATGCACTACATTTCTCTCCCTCTCTTTCTCCTTCCCTTTTCCTCTCCCTGAAAATAAATAAATAAAATCTTTGAAAAAGTTGTTTACTCTTGCTTCAGTTGTAACTTTCTCTGGATCTATTTAAAGTATAACCCACTCTTATTTTTCCCCTAAAGGTTAAACCTCTATTCCTGCAAAACTCTGGATCAATTTACATGATAGACTAACCCAGAAAGTATTATACAATTAGACTGCAAGTGGGATAGTCTACTGTCAAACATTACTGTGTTGTCTTTCAGCTGTGGGGCCAAGTGCTCAAAATGACATAAGTTTGTTTCCAGGTGTGGTTGATCATCATAACTCCAAGAATCAGCCTTGACAGGGTGATCAAAATTTCAAGTAGAACCTCAGCATTACTGACCTTAAATGGGCACTTTGGTACCATGTAATAATCACAGGAGATTGCAATAGTCCTTTGAAAGATCACTATTTCAAATGACATCATAGAGGGCCATATCTTAGCTGTCATTGTCTTACACACAATTTAATGGTTTAATATCACTTGTAGATACATTCAATCTCCCAGTGCAAATGCTGTGTACAAAAAGTTTTTTAATGTCTATGTATACATCAATGGCATGATTTTACTGTTAAGAACTAGACTAGCCTTATTAACAGATTACTACTAAGAAGGTATCAACATTTAGGTAAAATCCAAAACCATTGTTTTTAGCACCTATCTTTCAAAACTCATCCAGTCAGTTCAAAATTGCTTCTAGCAGCATAGAACTCATTTGTTGCTTTCATAGCCAGGGTGGTAGACATTTTGCAACCAATGTATCATAATAAAACAGCAGGGACTTTTTCTCTGTATCGAATTTCACACTTTCTTCCTTCATGAAGAGTGCCTACTAGCTATTGTTTTTATCATTTTTCTAGGTCAACTGCATCTATGTCATCCTTTGTTAGAACTTAGATGTCTGAAGGGAACATTTGTCCAGATACTCCAGAACTGATCTAAATGTGCATCCCAAACAAAGTCTGGTTTTGCCTGATGGTATCTGTAGGGTAAGTGGAGGCAGTCTGGCCTCCTTGCCCAGGTATTTGGGTAGCTAAGGGAAGCAGTGTTCCCATAGCTACCCTTGGAAGCAGTGTTCCCATAGCCTTGGAGGGGCCTGATAACTAGTGTTCTCATAGCCTTGCGACTGGGTCTGATAAACTTCCCATAATATGAAGTAGGCTCACATGTGCAGAATTATGTTATGTTATGTAATGTTCTGGCAGTTTTCTGGCTTCCTTTCCCTCTAGCGCTTAAATAGGTAGGGACTCCCAGCTGGGGGAGATGATGGGAGACACAGAAGGAGACAGATGCCATGCTGGGGAGCAAGGGCCATGACATGAGACATTCAGATACGCACACAGCTTGCAGCATGCCTAGCTCACCCGCCCATGAATGGAGGCAGGCCAGACATCCCAATGGCTGTGTGAATATTTTGCCATCTGTACAAATACCATGAACCTGCCTGGCCTTGAAGGGTGGCAACACAGCATCCCCACATATTACCTCTGTGAGAAAATAGGATGCCCTGTGATCCAGATGCAAACACTGGTCAAGCTTCTCAACTTTCTTAAGATGGCAACCTTATCATATTAAATTAGTCTAGTAGTTGGCGACATGGCACTTTTAAAGAATGATGTAGCTTAGGCAACTTTATGACCTCTCATGCCTCCCTTTACCCACTGAAAAAATGAACTTTTCAAATCTTCATAATTGTGTACAAACAAATGCTTAATCGGTAGTAACTATTATTAGTGTCTGAATTTTTTAGCGTATGAACCTGCCTATCACTAGCACTATATACTACCACCCCTTCAGACATCATCAGAGAATATAAACTCAATGCATCTTGATCTATGCAGATTGTCCACCATCCCCTTGACTGCCTGGGAAAGTTTTACTCATCCCTCAAGTCTCATCTCAAACTTTACCTCCACTAAGATCACTTCTTTGATTCTTCCAGATAGGTTTAAGGGGGTCTTCTTTTGTACAATATGAACAGTCTTACATTATAGTAATTGACTAATTTCATTGTAGTCATTGGCTTGTCTAATTCTAAAATAACTGCAAGCCCTTTGGAAATAGAAACATTTAAAAAATATCTTTCAATGCCCAGAACCTAGCACAGTGCCTGGCATATAGATGGCTCATGCACATTTGCTGAGTGAATGAACAAATGAATTCAGTCAGCTGCTATCTAAATGCTTGTTAATGAAATATAATAGTTAATATTCTGAAGGCTGATGCGTGTCCTTTCAATTTTATTCTTGAATCACCTTATGCCACCAGAAGACTGTATCATAGGATCATATTAGCTTAGTATTTGCTGAATCAGTTTCACTAACTTGCACTTTAATGTTATGCTTTAGGCAGTTATCAAAGATCATTAAAAATAGCCAAACAGCTATATGGATATCCCTTTTGCATTTATTATAAATCTGTTGTGAAGGTCACTGTTCATCATA